CGTACTCCGGGTGCGGGCTCGGAAACAGCCGGGGCGCGGGGGCAGCGGCCTCGGCACGCTGGGGAAGGGGCGGCTCTGCCCCGGCAGCTGATGCCGGGCTGGCGGCTCCCGAGGCCGGGATGCCTCCCCGGAGCCCGGGGCTTGCGGTTGCCCCTCAGGGCTCAGTCACGCAGAAAGGCTGACTAAAGTCTGTGTCCCCCGCAAGAGTGGGACAATAGAGCCACCCTCCGGGTCACAGGTCACCTCCTCGCTGATTGAGATATTCGCCACTTCCCCCCCACCCCCTCTGCTGCTCGGAGGCGCGGGGGGATATCAAGGGGGCGGCCGGAGGGTGAGGATGCTCTCGGCCGGGCCGGGGTGCCGAGGGCCCGGCTTCCCCCTCTGTCCGCTCCCGGGTTTGCACCGTGTCTCCTACTAATGGCTTTGGGGGGAGGGGGTCAGCGGTGGGCGTTTCCTCCTTCCAGAGGGTGGCCTTCCTCGGGATCACTCCGGTGCGTGGCCACCCCAAGGTGCACGGAGTGGCCCCGGTTCCCCGCAGGGCTGCGACCTCCGCTGTCTCCTGCCCCTGGGTTTGCCTCGGCCCCATAGGAGCAACGGGACCTAATTTATTCTGCAGCGCTTCGAACTGGTTCTCGGAGTGGTTTTTTCAGTCGCTTCCGAGCCCGACGCGTACTTCCCGCGCCGCTGAACGGTGGTCTTTATTTTTTTTTTTGGGGGGGGAACTTCTCCCCATCACCACCAAACATGTGACAAACTCTGGTCCGTGGGCGAGGGTGCCAGTGCCGGCCCGGCTCCCCGAGCTGCAGGATGGAGCCCGCTGGCACCTACATTTCCTCGCCACTCAGGTCTTTCTGCTTGCCTCTGTCTGGCCTTTGATATTCCTCGCCCCCTCCCCTTGCCGAAGTTCAGACCTGTTTACTCCAGCCCCTATCTCTGAAGTTCAAATGTACATGTGCTTCCCCCGCCGCTGAGTGACAGCTACAATGGAAATGTCTCGTTCGCTCCTGGTTTGCATATAATTACACCGGAGATGCAATATGTTTATGGCAGGAGAAAAACTACTTGTCTTTACGCTTGTTAGGGATATTCATTTAACCGCGATATAGTGCGCTTTAAAAGCTCTTTAGGGCGGATGGAATATTCCTCTCGCCGCCGCCGGCTCGCAGCTCGGCGCGGGGGATTTCTGTTGCTGTTATCCCGGGTTTGTTTTGCCTTTTCCTCGCGCCCTCGGTGAAAGGGACGAGGGAAATCCATGGAGCAATTGACCTCCCACTCCTAGGGCCGTTGCCGAAACTTCACCTGCCCCTGCCCCGCTGAGAATTCCGCTGTAACGAGTGGGCACCCATTGGGGACCGTGTTTTGCTCCTGCGCTGCAGGGCCCAGACCCTGCGGTCTTCTCCCTGGCGAGGCTCCCCACACCGTGGCGGAGTGCTCGGACGGGGCAGTGTTAAGTCCAGGAGTCCCCGGGCCAGGACAGCACCAGGGGGATCCTGGTCCAGGGAGGTCCGGGTCCACCGCCTTGCGGGGCACGGACGGGAGCCGAGCACCGGCAGGGCTCTGGGCGCGGAGGGACCCGCACCGCTTTCCAGGGGGTTTACATTTTTGTAGCTGTTATATTCCCAAATCAACCAAAGGGAAAAAAAAAAAAAGAAAAAAAAAGGAAAAAATAGGCGGTGGAGGAGAATTACACGATATCTGTTCTTGACGTAAAGCAGGGGGGTCTTTCTCCCCCTTTCCCTCGCGTTGGGAGCACGGCGGGAGAAAGGAGGCTGCGAGACTACTTTTCCGGTTGTTGTTGTTTGCACGTTTGCAATTGAGATAGATTTAAAAAGGGGGAAGATGCAATGTTCTCCATGTTCTGGAAAATAAATTGGGTTCTGCCAGAAATACCCTGAATAAAAATGGAATGTACTGAAGTGGTAAAGTAAATACAAAATATATTATATATATATATATTTTAATTCCGGACGCACGGGGGGAGGGGAGTGGAAATCATAGGCTATACCGACAATCCCTTAAAAAAAATAAACACATTTAATGGAATTTGTGGTCCCCAAGCTGGCAAATTCCAGTTAGGAAGCGATGGGATGTAAGTAGTGCCTGTACGCTGCTGCGGATGCTACCGGGCGCACACGCTCAGGCAAAGTTGGCAGAGAAGAAACGGGAAACGTATAAAAAAAGATTTATAGGTTAATTGATGTAGCCCGATCCTCACAGTACACAGCAGGCAAGGCAGGGCTGTAACCACCAAACCCTCCCGATACGGCGAGTCCTCGTCCAAAGCTACGACCACTTCTTTTTATCCCCCCAGCCCCAAGCCCCCGGGATGTTTTTCCCGAAGCCCCGCGGTCCCGCCGTTGCCGGCGCGCGGGGATTTTTCTAGGCGAAAAAAACAACTCAATTTTAAATTTTTTTTTTTTTAAATGTTCTCCCGCCGTGGAGCCACGCTCGCTCCTTCTCTCCGAGCCGGAGTGTTTCCTTTCCCAGCACACCCCCCAGCCCGGCCGGGGCAGCCGCAGTCCCGCTTGGTGCGGGCACCTGGGCGGGCACCGCGGCCCCGGCGCCGCCGCCACCGGCCCGGCCCGGGCCCGGCGCGCCCCATTAGGGACAGACAACACACAATGCCACACGTGAGGCCTCTGCACAAGCAGGGGTCAGTCGCCCTCGGTCGCCCCAGGTCGGCGACCTCAGAGGCGCTGCCCTCCCCCGTGCGCCCCGGACAGGGGAATTTAATTTTTTCCCCCCCCCCCTTTTTTTCCCTCATTTATTTCTTTTTCTTCCCCCCCCCCCTTTTTTTTTTTTTTTTTAAATTGAGGGGTTTGTTGTTGTCGAGAAAACCCAACACGTGCGGAAGGTAATTAATGACCCCGCCGCAGCCCTCCGGAGATAGGCAGGTAGAGCCTCAGCGGAACAACGAGGGGGGTGCGTGGCCTCGCCCCGCCGTCCCCGGGGTCTGTAGGTCGGTGCCCTGGTATCCCCGGCCGTGTCCCGGCTTCCCCGCGCCCGAATTCCTGGACGAGCCGCAGAAAGGGCTACGATCCTGCCCCGACTCCCGCCTAACAGCCGCGGGGTGTAGCGGGGGGAGCAGCGAAGGCGGCCCCGGCCCCCCCGGCGGGTCCCCCCCAGGCGGGTCCCCGCGCTCCCGCCTCCTGTTGTGCTGCGATCGTGCACTAACGGCAGCGAGGGACTCACCTTCCAACTTTGGGACTGTTCTTGGCGGCTGTGGCCTGGGAAATTTGAGTGTTTGACGGGCACTGGTGTTACCTCTCGGGGAGATTTTATATCGGTGGCTTTTTTCCCCCCTTTCTTTCTTTTTTTTTCTTTTTTCTTTTTTTTTTTTTTCCGCTCCCTGCAAACCCTAAAATAAAGAAGGCGAAGCCTTTCCCGGGGCTGATTGGGGGTAAGGATGTGAAAGGGCCGCGGTTATAAAGCGCTGCTTGAAGCGGGCTCTCAATGCGTCTCTGAACTTGATCAGATTTTACGTTTCCTGCAGAGAGCCGGCGGCGAGCCTGAGACCTGCCCAATAGCCAGACTTGGGGGCTCAGCAAACCTCAGGATATTACAATTACAGCCATCTTTCTTTCTGCCTTTTATTTCCACTCTTGCTCCCCATAGTTCTTTGCAAGTGCTTTCCAGAACAGAAAATGAGTGGATTTATAGCGCTGTCTGCAACTGATAATTATTCCAAGGCAGAACGTTGCCTTTGCAAAATAAAATTAAAAAGAAAAGAAATAAAAAAAGGAAGGAAGGGAAAAAAAGGAAAGGGAAAAAAAGGAAAGGGGAAAAAAAACAAAAGGAAAAAAGGAAAGAAATAAAGAGAGAGCGGAGAAAAGCGAAAAGATAAATGAGTGTAGAAAAAAAACCGGCTCAGGAGCCGCCGTTCTGGGCGCTGCTCGGCGGGTCGGCGGGGAGTGGGGCACGGAGCCCCGCTGTCCGCGGAGCGGGGTGTGACCCCTCCCTGCCGGTCCCCCGACGGGAGCGAGGGGGGACAGCGGGGGCTGGGCTCGGCCGGCGGGGGGGACCCCGGCCCGGTCACGCCGCGCCCCCGGGGCCGGGGGGCAGGAGCGGGCTCTCCCCGCGCGGCGCGGGCGGTTCTGCCCCCGCGCTCAGCCGGTAAACATAAAAGCAAATAGAAAAATAAAATTTAAAAATAATAATAATTAAAAAAAGAAATTAAACTGGAAACAGCTCCGGCTTTACCCCGTGTGGTTTTTTTTTAATTTTATTATTACTATTATTATTTCGTTTTTGAATCCACGCGGCGGCTTTTCGGAGCGGCTTTTACGCTTCCCCGCCGCGCCGCCCGGGGCAAGCGTCCCGCACGGCGCGGGGCGGCGCTGGGAGGGCACGGGCGGCGGGACGCGGCGGGACACGCGAGGAGGGGGCGGCGGGGCCGGGACGGGGGGAAACGGAGGGCGCGGGGGCTCCGTGGGGGCTCCCGCCGCCCCCCCTCAGCCGCCCCCGCTCTACCTGCGGGGCGCCCGCGCCCAATCAGCGGCCGCGGCGGCGCGGGGCGCGTGCCAATCAAGCGCGGCGCGGCCAATGGCGCGGCGGGCGGCGGGTCAGGTGACCGGCGGCGCGCGGCTCCCCATTGGCGCGGCGCGGCCTGGCCCCGGAGTTGGTTTTATGTGCGAGGCGCGGGCGGGCGCCCCGTCAGTGCCCCGACGGCGCCGAGCGGGAGCGCGGCCGCGCTGCGCCTCCTCGCCCTGCTGCGCCGCCCTGCCCGGCCCGGCCCGGCCCAGTCCGGCCCGGCGCGGGGGGCGGGCGCCTCTGGGGGCGGGTGGCTGTTTTGGCGCTGGTCGTTGGGGTTTTTTTGTTGTTGTTGTTGTTTTGGTTTCGGCCGGGGGGTGCTTGCCTCGCTGCGCGGCCGGGGCCGCGCTTGCCCGCAGCGGGGGGGCGGGGGGGTACGTTTTGGGGTGGTTTTGTACTTTTTTGGGGGCGGGCGGGAGGAGGAGGAGGGGGGGCGGGCAGGCTGCCGCCGCGCCGACGGCCCCGCGCCCATGACGATGCTGCTGGACGGAGGGCCGCAGTTCCCGGCGCTGGGGGTGGGCGGCTTCGCGGCGCCCCGGCACCACGAGATGCCGGGTCGCGACGCCGCCGCCGCCGGTATGGGGCTGGGCCCCTTCGGGGACTCCTCGCACGCCGCCGCCTTCAAGCTGAACGCGGCCCCGCACGACCTCGCCGCCGGGCAGAGCTCGGCGTTCACGCCGCAGGCGCCGGGCTACGCCAGCGCCCTGGGCCACCACCACCACCACCACCACGCCGGCCAGGTGCCCTCGTACGGCGGGGCCGCCGCTTTCAACTCCACACGCGACTTTCTGTTCCGCAACCGCGGCTCCGGCATCGCGGACGCCGCCTCCGGCACGGCGCAGCACGGGCTCTTCGGCGGCTCCCCCGGCGGCTTGCACGGCCCCGGCGGCATCCCGGACACCCCGGGATACCTGCTCTTCCCGGGGCTCCACGAGCAGAGCCCGAGCCACACGTCCCCCAACGGGCATGTGGACAACGGGCAGATGCACCTGGGGCTGCGCGGGGACCTCTTCGGGCGGCCGGATCCCTACCGGGCCGTCTCCAGCCCCCGCACGGACCCTTACGCCGGCGCCCAGTTCCACAACTACAACCACATGAACATGAATATGGGCATGAACGTGGCGGCCCACCACCACCACCATCACCACCACGGCCCCGGGGCTTTCTTTCGGTACATGCGCCAGCCCATCAAGCAAGAATTGTCCTGCAAGTGGCTCGACGAGAGCCAGCTCAGCCGGCCCAAGAAGAGCTGCGACAGGACTTTCAGCACCATGCACGAGCTGGTGACCCACGTCACCATGGAGCATGTCGGAGGGCCGGAGCAGAACAACCACATCTGCTACTGGGACGAGTGTCCGCGGGAAGGCAAGTCCTTCAAGGCGAAATACAAACTGGTGAACCACATTCGGGTGCACACGGGCGAGAAGCCCTTCCCCTGCCCCTTCCCGGGCTGCGGCAAGATCTTTGCCCGCTCCGAGAATCTCAAGATTCACAAGCGGACGCACACAGGTAAGGCCCATGTCCATGTGTCCTTCCCACCCGGGACGCGGGGCTTTGTGGGGCTCCGCGGGGCTGCGGGGACGGGCCGGCGGAGCGCGGGGTGCGCGGCGCTGCCGCCGCTCTCGGCCTTCTGCGCGCCTCTGCGGAGGGAACCATAGAAATGCTAATGAAATCTCATTTTCGGTGACTTCCGCTCCTTTTTTTTATTTTATTTTTAGGCCTGATTGGCATCTATCCTAATTAAATCAGCGATACTTTTGTCAAAGTATTTTTATTTGCAGCCCTGAGTTTCCTTCAGCCCTCCCGCACGGGTGGAGGGGAAGAGAGGGGGAAGGCTGGAAGCAAACGTATTTTGGCTTGTATCCTGGAGTACGTCTTGTAAAGCTGTCCGAGCCGCTGAATTTATCTCGGGTCTTCTCCCTCTCCGAGCTCGCCCAGCCGCCTTCCCTGCCGGAGCCCAGCGTGGGCCTGGCGGGAGGTGAGTTAAAAGTAACGAAGGCTGATCCAAATTTACCCAACGCGTAACGAACCCTTCTGTCCATCTTCCCCTTCTTCATTTGTTGTGGTGCTTGTGCATCCCTAAGGTGGGGTGAGCGGGGCAGATGTTGTCCTGGGAGGAGGCAGGTGGGGATGGAGCGGGGAACGGCCCGCCTTCACCCTCTCTAAATTTCACAGGTGAGAAGCCTTTCAAGTGCGAGTTTGAGGGCTGCGACAGGCGCTTCGCCAACAGCAGTGACAGGAAGAAACACATGCACGTCCACACCTCGGACAAGCCCTACATCTGCAAGGTGTGCGACAAATCCTACACCCACCCCAGCTCACTTAGGAAACACATGAAGGTAAATCACCCCAGTGCTGCAGTCCTTTCCTCCCTGAGCAGGGATGCTGAGCCGCTGGTGTGCTCAGGGCTCGTTTCCCTGGAGCAGGGCAGAGCTGAGCTCCTTGCTCCTGGCATGGCCCGAGCAGTCCCCGGTGTCTGGGCCGTGGCTGGAGCACAGCCCGGGGAAATGGCGTAGTTTGTTTTTGTGCTCCCACTGGTGCAAGTGCTGCCTGGTTTGCAGAGTGTGGCTTGGTGCTGGAAGGCCGTGCGAGTGCAACCTGGCCTGTGGCTGCAGGCCCCCATGCTGGGACACGGCAGCCCCTGTGCTGGGATGCTGCAGCCCCCCACGCCAGGATGCTGCAGCCAAATGCCCAGAGCCGAGGCATTTGCTGCTGGTGCTCAGTGTGCAGCCAGGCACGAACCGCCTGATCGCCGGGCACGGCCGAGCTGCTGGACCACATTGTCCCTCTTGCATGGAGGAACACCCCAACCTGGCTGAGCAAGGTGGCGGGGACCCTGAGCTCGCTCCCATCTCTGCCTCTTGGTTTTAGGTGCACGAATCCCAGGGGTCGGACTCTTCCCCTGCAGCCAGTTCGGGGTACGAGTCCTCCACCCCCCCTGCGGTGTCCGCCGGCAGTAAGGACTCCACTAAAACGCCGCCGGCCGCCCTGCAGAGTAACCCCGGCCACAACCCTGGACTGCCCCCCAATTTTAATGAGTGGTATGTGTGAAGGCAGCTGCTGCCCGGCCACAGACTGGACCAAATGCATTGGGAACGAGGAAAAAAAAAAAGGACAAACCAAGCCAACTGCAGCTCGCTCCCATGGAAATGGAGTTTCCACACCGGCGACCGCATAGGGCTACACCTAGTTAACTGCCAGGATCCAGAGGGGGGTCTTTTATTATTATATTATAATTATTACTATTTTTTTGCAAGCCCAGACGCTGGACTAGCCATGTCCTTTTCTCAGGATTAGATTTCTTTTTTTTGTTGTTATTTTTTCAGTCGCAATCGTTTCTTTGATTTTTTTTCCCCCCTCCTTGCCCAAGTCCTTCTTCTGACAATCCCCACTATTTTTTTATTCCTAATTTGTTTTGTTTTTCCTTCTTTCGGTGGGATGTTGACATGAGGATGAAAATTCTCCTTCGCCTTAGTGGTGATTGTTTAAACTTACAGTCTTAAACCGTGCCAAAGTCCTGTTATGTCTTGAACTTTCCTTTCTAGCTCTCCTGCTGCTTCTTTCTCTGATCTCCTCTTTCTCCTTCTCTCTCTCCAAGCATTACACTTGTGAATGTATTCTCGTCTGATGGGGTCGGTCAGTATTTTTCAGGATGAGGATGTGGTGTTTATTCTGCCCAGATTGTGACGTTTAGTATAACAGTTGCCTTTTTGTAATAACTTTTTTTGTAAATACATACCCATGATGCCATATTTATCGTTCGTAATTTAATTATTGATACAAAGTGCCGGGAACTGAACAATATTTATGGGGGAGAAAAAATTGTTTTCTAACAAAAAAAAATACAAACAAAAAAAATCCAACTCTGTACAGCTTTTGGTTATAACTGCTTTAGCATTAAAAGTTTATTGTTTTGGAAAGAGCCGGTTTTGACCTCCTCCGGGGGACGGGGCAGCCGCGGGTGCCGTCGCGGGCTCGGTTGGCGCTGCCGCCGGGGCCGGGCCGTTGTTTTCGAGCTGGCGATGCTGGGTGAAGCCTCCTCCTCGCCGCCGCTCTTTTCTCGTGTCCCTTTGTCCCCGCCCTCCGCCGCCCGGCAGTTTCGCTCCCCCGCCACCTTCCCGAGCGGACCGATCTCGGAGTGCGGCGCCGCCGAGGGAGAGGAGCGCCAGGGGCAGCGGGGCCGCCTCGACGGGGAGGTCCCGACGGTGAGTACCGGGACGGGCAGTGCCCGGCGCCCCTTGGATGCAGCGCTGGGATGTGGGGGCCGGCTAACCTTGCGGGACCGGCACCGGGCTGCATGCCGGGGGGGGGCCCGGGGCGACCTCGCGGCGGGCAGGACTTTCTCCGTTATCGTCTGGTTTGTTTTGTTTTCCTTTATTTCTGACTAGGATGCGGAAAAGCCTCCCCGTCCTCAGGAGGAAAAGGGGTCGAGCGGAGACATCTCATCCAAGAAACTTCTCCTGTGGCGCCGCACAGGAGCTCCAAGCAACCAGAGAGACGGTGGAAACCGTCCCACCCCGGCAAACCTCCGTGTCCCGGTGGCCCCGGCGGGCCGGACGGAGGTGCCGCAGGGATACTCAGGTCCTCCCATCCCGGTGGAGCGCGGCCGGTGCTCCCCTCCAGCGCGGCCAGCCCGGGCGTGCGGCTCCGCAGCTGCATCCTCCCTCCGATCCGCACCTCCCCTGACCGGGGGAGACCCCAGACAGGCCCCTCTTGAACTTGACTGGGGGCACAGGGGAAGGCCGGGGTGGCCCATCCCCTCCTGCCTGCCGCAGGGGCCGCTCGGGCGAGTAACCGGCAGAGCCTTGCATGCTTTAAAATTTACCTTTGAACAAATCTGCCCTCTCCTTTTTCCCAAGAAAAAAAAAAGGGGGGGTGGGGAAAGGTTTCTCGGTCAGAAAAGCACAGGAGAAAGGTGAATCGCAGCCTCTGCAGCTGCACATCTAAAAAAAAAAATAAAAATAAATCCCTCCAGCTCCTCACTGGCCACTTAAAATAGTTCCCTTCGAGGTGTCCCAGCTAGACGTGAATCTCTGCTTCTTTTTTGCTGTGAAGTCTTTCTCTCGCTGTGCGCAGAGCCGAGCCCGGGGCTGGACGCGGAGCGCTGCCGAGCCCGGGCCCTTCCCGGGGGGCGAGCGGGGCCGCCCCGCCCCGCGGCCGGCGAGGAGCAGTGGAGCCGCCGGGGGTCGTCGGGTTTTCCTCGGACACCCACCTAGGTCGCGTCTGCGTCGCTCCGGACCGCGCCAGGCTTGGAAACGTGCCGGTAGGCTCGGTTTCGTTACTGCTTTGCTCGGACCCGGGGAGGCGCGGGGTGCGCAGGGCTCCGCGGGGGCGCAGGGCTGGCGACGGCTGCTGCTGTCGGTCCTCGAAACGCCGTCCCGGAGTGGGGGGCTCTGCTGTGGCCGGGGTTGTCCTTTCTGGCTCCGCAGTGGCTCTGGCTGGTTCCCGGGGCTCACGGGCCGTGCTGGTGTTCTTGCCCTCCCGCCTGCCCCCGCAGTTGCTTCCTTCCTTTGACTGGCAGCACTGCCCCTGCCATTTTTATTGCCAGGAATTAAAACCAGCATCCTGGCTCATTTGGCTTCCCCTGGGTCGCCAGTCAGTCCCCCACCCTGAGTCCTCCCCATCCAGGCAGGGCTCGCTACCAGTACAGGGAAGAGTGAAGCAAACTGTTGACTGTACCCCACTGAGGTCCAGGGTCCCCCCATCCCACTCTGCAGCCCCCCCAAAATGGGGCATGGATGGGCTGGTGCAGCTGGGAGGTGTGTGTGTGTGTGTAGTATGGGATGAAGGAATGGATTTGGGATGGATGCAAGAAGGGCTGAGGACCCCTTTGGCTCTGCAATGCTTGCAAAGCACAGAGTTCAGCACCAGCACCATGAGGTAGGGCAGGAAGGCCGTGTCCCCCGAGCATGGTACACTGTGCTGGTGGGTGCTGCTGGCCCCAAGACTTTGGGAGTGAAGGCCAGGGAAGAGCTGTCTCACCCTGCAGCTGAGTCCTCAGCTCTAATGGTCAAATAAGAAGGGCTTTTCTGTAAAAAGAAGCAAAAAGTCTCTGTTGCTCACCCGTGCTAATTGCAGGGAGATAAAGAGAGTCCTGGAGTGGGAAAGATCCTTTTTCTCAGATTTCTTAGGCTAGTTTTGTGAGCCAGGGAGAGACAGCTCATGATTTTCAAAGCCAGGGCCTGGCAGTGGCGACCTGTGGGCATTCCCTGTGCTCACAGCTTGGACAAAAGCATTAGAGAGCAGCCAGGGCAGAACAGCGCTGGCAGGGCAGGTGCCATGTTAGCTCAGCTTTTAGTGTGTCATAATAATGGGACTTGTGTCACACCCCAGAAAAATCCCAGGACTGGTCACAAAAAGGGGACGTATTCTGCTGTCCTCTCCCAGACTGGCAGTTCCCTTGAAGTTGCTGTGGTTGCTTGTATGAGCAGGATTAGGTGGATTTGTCCCCACATAAACAGAACTCGGGATGGTTTTCTAAAAGGGGTAATGTTGATTCATTGTGCTATAACGAATCTAAGCAGAGGCAGGCGATGAGCTGGAGCCATTCCTTCTCTACCACGCTTTATGAGCCATGAATATTTTGATTCCTTTGGTGTCATTGTTTTTGCATATCTGTCTCTGTGTCTGGTGTAATCCTCTGAAAAGAATATTTTTTTTTTTCAAGCTTTGTGCGTGCCATTAGCAGCTAGTGGTTGCACACAGTGTGAAGGCAGAGTCCTGAAGGCATTTTGATCAGGTTGTGTTCAAGTATCTCAGCGTTATGACACCAGGAATTAAGTTCCTGTAGTAACTCTGTTGGCTGTAAAGCTCCAAAGCAGTGGATAGGGTGTAGTATTCTGTGTTTGCATTTTATTTTTTTAATATAATGTTCCCAGATTAAAAGCACCACACACTAACCCTTCCCCTCTTTTAGCTGAGCCTAACTTTCACGACTGTTTCATAAACCATCCCTGTTATTTATGCTGTTAGTATGATCAGCTCTAAGGAAAATATTTCTGCAGAGGTGCACTCTTGGTTTGGAAAAGTAAAACTCCAGAGAAAACCAATATTCTTTGAGAAATCTAATTTTATTATAGAGTGCCCAGAAGGAAATAGTTTGTAACGTACTGACTACTCTGTTCATCCCCTGAACTAAAATGTTTGGTTAACCTTTCTATGCCATTTGTATGGGATAAAAATATAATTTATGTCTTGCAAGTGCCTGCTCACCTGAACGTAGCTGCAAGCAGTAAAAATACTTTTGTAAGAGCTTACAGTGGTAAGTGAGAATGGCAAAGCAAGGACCTGCCCTGCAGACTTAATAGGAGGCTGTTTAGGATGGCTTTGCAGACATCTGTTCTGTAGTAGTCGTGAAAAAACCCTCTGCAGGATCTGGGGGAGTCACTTGACTAAGGAGGCACAGGTATATTTTAATATTAAGATGCTAATTTTATTCTCAGTAAAGAAGGTTGTGTGCTGCTTAGGTTTTCTTTCAGCTGACACTTCAGTAGTGTTTCTCCATTTCAAATGTTTGTGTGAAAAGAAACTTTAATAAAAAGGGCTGGGGGGAAAAAAAAAAAGAGTTTAGCTGAATGATTTTGTTTTGGCAACTTGTTCAATAGTGGCAGCTTTGAAATCGCCAAAGCTCGACTTTGAAATGGTTGAATGGGTGATCCGTGAAGTTTCTGCTGAGGGAGACCCAGCCTGCACACTGGGGATTTTTTCCTGTGCATGCTGAGCGAGGCAGCCTGACCTGGGACATGGGGGAAACTTGGAGAGGGGAAAAGTCACTGGTGGTCCTGCTGGCTGGGAGGAGGCTGGGGAAGCTGCAGACGCTTAATGGCCCAGGATCATAAAGGATACATGCAGAATAGGGCTATTCCCTTGGTTTTGCTGTTTTTCAGAGCATCGTATAATCCCAGTTTAGGCCTGTGCTGGTCCTGCAGCTACAAAATGGCTCTTAGTGAGGTTTTGGGGGACTTGGCGTGGTGGAGCAAGGGGCTGGGCAGAGATTCTAAAGCTTTCCAGGAGACTTTGCCCTACCTGGCTTCCAGTACCTCCATCTCTGTTGTTCAGGCAGAAGCTGGTCTGTGGGCAGGACAAAAGTGGAACATCGTCAGGGTTTGGTATGGGGGTGAAAAGTGTGTTGCTCTGCAGCCTGTGCCGGGACTGTGCCCAGGCAGGTGCAGGGAGTCACCGCTCCCTGTGCTCCAGAGGGAGCTGGGTGGGATTTTGGAGCAGAAATGAGTGTTGTGCTTTATTCACAAGCTGAGACCTTTAGCTGGGAGGGTCACAGCAGGGGAGAAAATGTCGGGATTTTGGTTTCTGCTAGCCATGGGCTCGCTGTATTTGTATGCCACAGAGAATAACCACTTTGGAAAATGTATCTGCAGCCAGAAAGGCTCAAGAGGCAGTGCCTTAGCATATAGTCTTTGCTTTAAATAAAATCACCCACTTATTTATATCATCTTTAAATTCCCCTCAGTTTCAGTAAGACATTATTTCAGTGCAAAATCTGGTGTTTGTATTTTTTTTAAAGTAATTTTTGTCTGCTTTCTGTAGTTTACATAGCCTGATTCTTCTGTTTCGAGCTAGAAGATATTGTTTTTTCGTTCACTTTTTTCCTTATTTTAATTTTTTTTCTGTTTATTCTTTAGCTGTGTTAATAGAATGACATTGAATTTAAGCTTTCCACTCCTTCAGTGTGTTCTTACTGAAAATAAACATTTTTTTTTGTTTGCATTTAGCACCCTATTAAATCCATGGACTTGAACTTCTCAGGGATTATTGATAAACTCAAGAAAAAAGTAAAGTTTGTGTTGAGATTGGTGAAACTCCTTCTTAACTATAGGAAAAATCTTAATTTGGACTTAAATATTATATTTAATTAAAAGAAAAATCTTTGTGCAGCAGATGGTGTGACTAAAGTTTCTCTGACGCATGCAGAGTGCAGAATTTGCAAGGACTGGGCTCTGGTCGCTCACTGGTACAAGGGCTCCTGGTGCTGAGGAAGGCAGATGTTCCCCAGAATACTCATTTTCCCCATAATATTTATTTTTACTAGAAAGAAGATGCTGCAAGAATGTGCTGAAACTGCCAGTCATAAATATTTAAAAATCATGTTCCAGGCACACTTGTAATGGACTTGCTCAATTTTACAAGATTATGAAAGAAAAAGAAAGTAGACAATTTTTTTCTTTTCCTGCTGTTTTTTTTCAGTGCTGTGAGCCTCACTGTCCAGATTTTATTTTGCCTGTTTTTTCTTTTTTTTTTTTTCTTTTGGTGACACCTACAAGGCTAAAGGGGCATATATTTGTGTTTTAAAGTGGAGCTCAAATTTTTGTGTAATTTCATGATTCTAGAGCTTGACTTACATTTTTTTAAAATGAGGCTATTGCCAGTATTGTAAGAATTAACAAAACTGCAGCAGTAAAATATATATTTAATTTTTAATCTTGCAGAAGTATTTTAAAATAATGCAGTGAGTGGAGTGATTTGCCTTAATGGCTTGGCACCGCTGATTTTGTTTTTAAAATGAGACACCAATGTATTATTGCAATCTGCTCCTTTTTTTCTGTTTCCTTTTTATTCTTTGCTGATGCAGAAGGCAAGCAAAGGACCAAAGGAGTTGAAACTGCCCCTCGAAGACCCTCCCTGTACCTTCAGGAGGACACTGGACTGAAATTAAAATAAAACCTCTCTGTTGGTGCTCACTCTATGTTGCTGAGGACTTGATTTCAGAG